CGCGCTTTTGGGGGAGCCCCGGGGTGACATTTGAGGAGGCACTGAACCAAGGCGGGAGCCCAGGGACGGAGGGCTGGGCGTCGCATCCGCATCCCGCGCCTCTCCCGGCCCCGGGCCCAGGCCACTGGGCAAGGGAGGGAAGCCAGAGAGGGACCTGCCACGCTGGGACTGTCCTGCTCAGGCCTGGGGGACCTCGGTATTCTGTGACCCCCGCGGCCGAATTGAGCAGTCCCAGCCCTGGTGGTGTAGCTGGGTCATCTACTAATGGGAGAACTCTTCCCGCAAAGGGAGCTAGGACTCTCCGAGCGTCCGTGCAGCGCGGCCCGCCTGCAGCAGGGGGACAGGTGGCCACATTGACCGCTGCAGCGGTCTTCCCCAGAAGCATTTGGCCCGCGAGTCTCAGGACGTCCTTGGATGGGGGGATGGCTGTGTCACGGGGGTGGTAGCCTAACACGGCGTCCTTTAGAGCAGTAGACCGAATAAAGTATTAGCGTGATGATGCGTTGTCATCCTCTCCCACAGAAATTTCAGACCACAGCATGCTTGGGGTGGGGGGATGGCGGCAGAATAATTTAGGAAACAGTCGCACTACACTGCTTTTGCCAGAATCTATTTATTTTTCGAACACTCGCAAATTACAGTTCTGATACTTTGCTTATTGCAAATTATTGTTCTCTCTGCACTTCACAGCATAATGTAGCAGGGAAATTTTGTTTCCTTTTTAAAAATTTTCCAAGTATGACAGCAGAGTTTTACCATGAAAGAAGGCTATTTAACTCTCTGCTGATTAATTTGTTTCGTGCCATTAAGAAACTAGCTCTTAAAGTGATCTAGTACTGAGTTCCGGTAAAATATTTAAAAGAACAGTTACTGGTAAAAGCCAGTGCTTTCAATGGGCATTTGACCAACCTGACAAGTTTATGTAAATAGTGGTCATTTGGCTCCTTCCTCACTTCTTCTTTGTCTCAAATAATTGTCCTGTATTATTTAGTTGGTATTCTTAATTTGATGCCTACTATAATACCTACATATGTACATATATCTACATTATATGTAATATATATATATATATATAATATTTTTTTCAAAGTTGTTTAGCTGGCCAGTTAACTAAAACCTGCATTTATGCTTTGATTCTGACTTCTATCTCTCTAGTCTAAAGCGAGTAGCTTTCAGTTCAATTTTAGCTTGAATCTTTTTTAATGACTTAACCTGGTTTGAGCTGCCAAAATACAGTTCTGCAAAAAACATGCATTGTTTATCTTTTGATCACCCAGGGCAAGTTTCACTTTGTCTTATATAAATGCTTCTAAAGTAATCCTGAATCATAAGAAAAAGTCTGCATAACTGGATTTGGTTAACATATAGAATACAGTCATCTCTATCATCTTCTCAGCTTGAGAAAGGCCATTAAGACATGTGCCGACTAACTGTTGGTTGATTTTTTTTTTTCCCAAGCCATCATCAAGAATTGCCTAAACAATGCCTGCAGGGACCAGGCAAGTTGAGGGGGTTCAGGGAGAGCAGACCAGAGTGTATACCCAGGACAAGAGGACAGCCAGTATCTACCAAGCAGGATGAAAGTCTAGTGCCGTCAGATCTTCAGAATCTTTTTGAAAAAGCTGGTAGTCTAGATTTTCAGCAAAATCTTCCAGATTGTAAATGGCGGCAACTGCAATAACTCAGAAAGTGTGATGCGGGCCAAATCAAGCATGATATTTGTTCTCAAATTTATACAGCCTTTGTCCCATATGGAAGTGGGGAAGATACAAAGTGGCTTCAAGTGGTTTGGAAAAGAATGGAATTGAAGTATGAGTTTATTTTTGTGAAAAAAGTAAAATCCATGCATAGTTTTTTCATAATATACTTTTTTTTTTTTAAGAGAGATTTTTGCTGTAGGGCGCCTGCACTCTCCAGAGAGACAGAGAGAGACAGGAAGTGAGAAATCATCTCCCAGAGGGAATGACAACTCCACAATCCATTCTCCTCTTGGGATCTTGGGCACAAAGGCACACACTCCCAGCATGAGTTTAAAGCCACTTTGAAGTCCAGGAGTCAACTACAGTCAACTACGTGGTAGTCCAGTAATATAACCATTCTGCCATCCTCTGGTCCCCCATAATGTACATTTTCTATTTTTCCTTGTGTTTTGATCATTTTGTAGGCTTCCTTTTTTAGGAGCCAGTCTGACTGTTGAAAATACTTGCCCTTTCTTTTAGACTCTTAATTATCACTGTCCATGTAGCCTAGCAATCTTCTTTATCTGCTGCAGATTGTTCCTGTTCCCACAGGTTCTGTTGCTCAAAAGATATATTTCTACATTGTTGGAAAAGGAAATGATCAGCTTTGTAATATCACAATCAATTGTTCGGTGTGTAACATGAATGACAAGAGCCTTCAAAAGTTGGGCTCTGTTGGGACCAGCAGTTAGCGTAATGTCACTGGACTCCCACGTAGTCGACAGGTTCGCGTCCCAGGCCTGGTGGCTTAAAACTCACGTTGGGCGCGCGTGTGTGCGTGCCCAAGATCCCGAGAGGAGAATGGAAGAGAAGGGATTGCGGCGTGACCATCCTCCCTGGGGGGTGATGTCTCGCTTTCTGTCTCTCTGTCTGTCTGGTGAGCGCAGGCGCCCTATAGCAAGAACCTCTCCAAAAAAAAAAGAAAAGGAAAAAAAGTTGGGCTCTGTTTACTGGACTGTATATGGCCTGATCTCAATGTGTAAGCTAAGATACAAATTGAGAAGATTCCCTTCCTTACAGAATGATGTATAAAAGCTGATCAATAAAATTGCTCCTTAGGAAACACCTATGAAAAAATGTTTCAGAGATAGATAAAAGAGATCCTGTGTGACATAGAGAAAATGGGAATGGCTTAGCAAGGTGTTTTCCCCCTTTGGTCATAAGGAAAGAAGTTGCTAACCCGCTCCCTGTGAAAGGCAGATAATAGATTTGCTGAATAAGTGCTTCAATCACAAGGTGATTCCCAGGAGTTATTCCAGTCAGATTGTTCCACGTTGTAATTATGACTCAAAAGTAATTGCTTACCTTCTCAGGAAAGAATACAGTAGATTAGAACTGTCATAAGGAAGCTTATAGAGATGTTTAAATAATTGCCTTACATTATTCATTAAATTTGCATATTTAATCCTACTTTCACAAGCCCAATAACATCTCCAAACTTTCTTCCTTTTTCTCTACTAACAATATTAGTTTTCTCCCATAGGAGAAAAGGCTTTGATCATGCTCCCACATCTGGTTCTTGAAATTCGTTTCTACTTCTAAATAGTGGCTCAACTGCCATCTCTTCGTGTTACCTTCCTCAAACCTTCAGTCAAAATTTCTTCCAATAGCATGTTTTTTAAAGAATCTTTTTATTTTTTAACTTTATTTATTTATTCATTTATTTTAATTTGACCAGAGGTCAGGGGAGAGAAAGTGAGAAAGCAAGCTGCCAGGTCCAGACTCGAACCACAGTCAGCCATCTGGGAGTCCAGTGCTCTTAACCACCATTCCACCTGCTGGCCCCCCTTTAGCATTTTTTAATGCCTCTATTAATAGCTCTTATCACCTTCTCCCTGGTATTACACAGCTGACTCTTGAATAGCATGGGTTTAAACTGTACAGGTCCACTTATACATAGATATTCTTCTTGTTCTCTTTTTTTCCCTTTCTTTTTTGCCAGAGAGAGAGAGAAAGAGAGGACAGTGAGAAACACAGGAGAAAGCACCCTACCCTCCATGGGGAATGGTCATACCTCAACCCCTTATCCCCAATTTCTTCATCCTGTTGGGATTTGGGGCTTTCACGCATACATGCCTGGTGTGATTTTTTTTTTTTTTGAGAGACTTTTGCTATAGGGCATGTGTGCTCGCTGGAGAGACAGAGTGAAACAGAGACAGAAGGTATGAAATCACCGAGCAGGGGAGATGGCCACACTGTAATCCTGTCTCCATTCTCCCCTCAGGATTTTGGGCATGCATGCCCATGCACCCAGTGTGAGTGTCAAGCCCCTGGGTCTGAGACTCGAATCATGGTTGACCATGTGGAAGTCCAGAGCCTTAACCACTACACCACTTGATGGCCTCCCCCTTGAGAGATTCTTAAGCTGATAGGTCTAGGACTTGAACCACATAGTCAGCCATGTGATGTTTGGTTACTTCACCAGGCTCATGGAGCTGGCCTCATGTATTTTAAAAAATAAATATTGGAAAATACATACAGTATTATAAATGTATTTTCTCTTAGAATTTTTTAAAATAATGTTTTTTTTTCCCTCTAGCTTTCTTTATTGTTAGAATACAGTTAAAGTGTTCATTGACTGGTTATGTTATCATTAAGGTCAATAGTAGACTAACGTGAAGTCTGGGGCTTTGGGGAGTCACGAGTTATACATGACTGTGTAGGGAGTCAGGCCTAACCGCTTTTGTTGTTCAGGGGTCAATCGTAATTCTATATCTGCTGTACTTAAGAGCAGGGACCATCTTGTCATATTGACCAAGAGGTTTAAATTAATAGAAAGATGAACAAGACTTGGGCTGACTTCATGACATGATGGTTAAAGCAACCAGATCCCATGTGGCTGGCCCCATGATTTGAATCCTGGACCAGGCGGCTTGAGAAACATGCTGGACATATGCATATGTGCCCCAAATCCTTATAGGATGAAGAGATGGAGGAGAAGAGATTGCAGCATGACCACACTTCATGGGGGGGTGTTTTATCTCTCCCTCTTTCTCTGTCTTGCTTCAGTGAGTGCATGTACCCTCCGACAAAATATTTTTTAAAAGATGAGTAAGACTCAGAGCATATTCAGGGAGCACTTTATACATGTTTTTTGAATAGATTTTTTTTTAAATTTGCTACAGGACAGATTTGCTAGTTTGCTGGCCAGAGAGAAACAGAGCGAGAGAGAGAGAAAGCAACCCCCCCATCAGGAGGGATGGGTACCACCATCCCATCTCCTCTGTTCTCTCAGGATTTGGGGTACACATGCAAAATCCCATTCCCGGCATTTTTTTTTTCATTATGCCAGGTCTAGGACATGAACTACTCAGTCAGCCATGTGGAAGCCAGCTGCTCTAAACACTATGCTACCATCTGGCCCCAATGAAGAGATTTGATTTCTCCTTAATAGATCATTTAAATTTTAATTCTGGTTTTCTTTCCTCCCTTGCCATATTTTAAAAATTTCTGACTTGGGTGTGTTTGGTTACTTAATTTCTTCTATTTTAGTAGTAGACCTGCAATTTTAAAATATGTTCATTTCTTTTTTTTTTTTTTTGGAGAGTTTTTTGCTATAGGGCACGTGTGCTCGCCAGACAGAGAGACAGACGGAGAGACAGAGAGCGAGAAATCACCCCCCAGGGGGGATGGTCATGCCGCAATCCCTCCTCCTCCATTCTCCTCTCGGGATCTTGGGCACGCACGCACATGCGCCTGGTGTGAGTTTTAAGCCACCGGGTCCAGGACACGAACCGCGGTTGACTATGTGGGAGTCCAGCGACATAGCCATTACGCTAACTGCTGGTCCCCTAGAATATGTTCATTTCTTCATCGAGTTGTCAAAAAGTTCATCTTGGGGTGCCGGCAGGTGGCATGGTGGTTAAGGGTGCTGGACTCCCACATGGCTCACCACTATTCAAGTCTCGGACCTGGTGGCTTGCTTTCTTACTTTTTCTCTTTCTTTCTCTCTCTCACTCCGTCCCTCTCTGGTCAAATTAAAATAAGTAAATAAATAAAGTTAAATAAATCAATTCTTTAAAAACTAAAAAGTTAATCTTGGAATCCTGTGCATATATTTTGTACTAACGGGGAATTCAGCACGTTCAATAGAAAACATTGTCACATGGCCACTCAGATTGTAGAGTAGGACTTCTTGGAAAGGGAATTAGTGTAACAGGCTTTAAGGAGGAGCCATTTCTCTATAAGACAAAAGTTTCAGCCTAAACAGTCAACTTCCTTCTTTAATCGGTAACGCTCCCCTCCCCCCCATTAAGTTGAATGTTTTTAAAATGGCTTGGACTGTGTTGTGACTTGAAATGTGTCAGGTACTGTGTTGAGGACTTTTCCAGCATTATCTCATTTAATCATTTAATCCTATAACTCTGTGATATAGGTAGTACCGGGTAAGCTCCTTTATGGCTCCTTTATGCGGGTGATTAGACTGCGGCTGAGGATTGTGTCCAAGGTCGCAGAGTAACTGGTGAACTAGGATTCAAGTCCAGCTTTGTTGCACTCTGTGAAGGGGAGAGGGGAAAATGGGGAATGTCACCTCCTCACATGTCTATCAAGTGTCAGTTCTAATTATGGTCACAAAGAAAGGAATCTCCACCAAGGAAAAGATACATACAAACTGGTTTCACAATATATATGAAAATGTTGCCTTTGAATTTGTACTGCAGGTTATGATCATCTTGTGACTCAGATTGAGCGGGTCCTGGGCAGGGCTCAGGTGTGTCACCATGGGTAATGGTTGCATAATCATTTTGTTCCATAAGAAGAATGACTAGAACTGTATTTCCTTGCTTGTTTTGGCAGGAAACATCACCTTGGCCTCAGTTGTCTCATCATACTTAGAGATTTCCTAAGGCGTGTGGATGATTTCCTCCTTCTTCTTTCCTTTCTTTTATTTATTTATTCAAGACATGTTTATTAAGCACCCAGTATGGATCAGGGACTAATGAACAGTAAATTTCGTAAAACTAATTTGAGTCCTAGCTGGAATGAGGCCACTCTTGGGATAACTAGAGTTGTGCTTCTTTTATTATTTGCTTTTGCCCCCATACATTGGCTTCTTTTCTGTCCTTCACATTACACACGTGACATGAGCACATTCTTTTCTGAGAGCTGCCACCTACTCTTGTCCTCTTGTCTTTTACAGTCCTAAATGTTTTGGGACCAGCAGATGGTGTAGTGGTTAAGGCATTGGACTCTCATGTGACTGACCATGATTTGAGTCTGGGATCAGGTGGCTTCCAGGATGAGAAGAATGAAGAAGGGATCACCTAGTGGCCATCCTCCCCTAGGGGGTGATTTCTCTCTTTCTGTCTCTCTGTCTCTCTGACAAGCGCATGTGCCCTATAGCAAAAATGTTTGTTTGTTTAAAAAAGCTTTAATTTTGACATCCTTAAGGGGCAACAGCTATTTTTTCTTCCCCAAAGCACCTGGCATGTGGTAGGTCCTCATTATATGAACTGACATTGGCAATAAGGTGCCTAACAGGGCTCAAATATGTTGTCCAAAATTTAAGGATTAGAATGGGAAGATAAAACTTGGAGAGTCTTGGAAAAAAGTCAAATTCAGCAAATACAGCTATATATGGTATATGCATAGGCTATTTAGTGAGAGTTCATTTTAAAGAAAAAAGCAATGTCATTTGTTATGTTTACTTTGGAGGCTTGTTGGAAGATGCCATTAGGTCTTTTCTGAGCAAATTTGCAATGTAACATATCTGTGGTGAGCACTTTTTTATTTTCAGTTGTTCACATTTATGTCATATCATGGTGTTCTCAAGAAGGAATTTATATTCCTGAATAATGTCTTATCACATATTAAAGTTTAGTGTGCCATAAACAGTAGGCTAGTGGGGAAATCACGTGGTGAGGAAGATGAATGTGCACACTTATGATGGCTTGGCTGAATTAGTCATAGGATGACAGTTCCTGAGTAAGGAGAGCATTTCACCTCTCCGTGACTTCCTTAGACAGAACATGCATGATGCATCATTTCAAAAGGTTATTTTAAAACATTTTTATATTTTATAAAATAATTTGCCTGGTTCCTTTAGGTTTGAATGATCCTCCTTCCTTCAAATCTGGAATCATTTCATAATTTAGATATAAAAGTAAATTATAGAGCTGGCGACTTCTAATTCTGATTCTACCATTTATTGGTAATATATTGAGTTGGCAGAAAAGTCATGATGTGTTTTCCTATGCAAAAATGTGTCATGATTTTTCCAACAACTCAAAAATTATATATTCTGTATCCAAAATGCAAGGGACCAGAAGTGGCTTAGATTTTGGAATAGTTGCATATCCATAATCAGATGCCTTGGGGATGGTACCCAAGTCTAAATACAAAAAAAGAAAATTCTTTCATGTTTCATATATACCTTCTATACATAGCCTGAAAGTATTGCAATTTTATGCTTTTTTTTTTCTTTGCTGCATTTTGACTGCAGTCTGGTACATGAGGTCAGCTGTGGTGTCAGGTTTGTGCTCAAAGTTTTTGATTTTGGAGGATTTTGCATTTTCAGCTTAGGAATGTTCAATTTCTAGTAATAAGAATCATAATCTAGTGTAACAATAGCAGCAGCAGCAGTAGTAACATGTTTTGGGTGTATACTATTTATCTACATTGCTGAATTAACTTTTTTTCTGCCTTTCATTGCCCTTCCACCTGAATAAAATCTGGAATTTAGAGGAGGACCAGCAGGCGACCTGGATGATAAGGCTGCTGGGTCGTATATATTGGACTCTGCAGTTCGAGTCCTAGGCATGACAACTTGAAAATCACTCTGTGCATGTGCATGCTTGCCCAAGATCCTGAGAGAATGGAAGAGAATGGATTACAGCATGGCCATCCTCCCTAGGGGGGTGATTTCTCACTTTCCCTCCCTGACTCTGTATCTCTCTCTCTCTGATGAGTGTATGCACCCTTTAACAAGAAAAAAGAAAAAGAATCTGGAATTGAGATAGGATTTGGGCTTAGGGATCAGTGTATCATCAGTATATAACTGATTATTTCTTTTTTTAAAAAAAGATTTATTTTATTTTATTTATTATTTTAATTTGACCAAAGAGAGACAGAGAGGGAAAGCAAGAAAGCAAGCTGCCAGGTCCAGGACTTGAACCACAGTCAGCCATGTGGGAGTCCAGTGCCTTAACCACCATGCCACTGGCCAGCCCCTATAACTGATGATTTCTAATCCTAATTCTATCACCCATTGGAGGGTTGGAGATGGTAGTAGTAATATGGGGGAACGTCTTTCAAAAGTTCATAGAAAATGCATATTATGAAGAAACTATATATGCATGGATTTCAAAACTTTTTTTGTATTAAGTTAAACTTGTACTTTTATTTTCCTGCAGACTTCTTGAAGTCCCCTCATCATAGTAACAGAAACAATAGCGGTAGTAGCATCAACCATAGTGATAGCGTATTTTGGATACGTACTGTGGGCCTGACCTGCCTCAATGTTCATCATAAATTATTTTACTTGATTCTTTTGTAGATAGATAAATCAGGTTCAGAGACATTCCAGTCAGAGGGTTGACATGGACAGGGCTGGGGCCTGACCACCTCCAGCTCTGTGTGCCTGTGGAGTCCATGCTCTTTGCTCTATGTTACACCAACATGAAGTTCTCATTGCCTTTCTAACTCACCCAAAATCCTGAGAATGGATCTCTTTCAGCTCATAGCCTAAAGTAGCAACCACTAACTGCTGGACATCTCTTTGGTATGAGCAACACTTCAGATAGACATTATCTAAAGTGAGATTTGCAATCTCATGATCCCTTTCTGTCCTGCAACTCCTGCTCCTACCTTAACCCTTGTCTTGTAAACACTGTCATGCTAACCTGTAACCTGTCACTACGGTGTGTTCCTTTTTTCTGCTTGTACCTGACTAAAATCTGTCTCTCCACTTGCACTTCACTTCTGTCGAACTTCGTGGCTGTTGCCCTCCTGGCGTTGCCTTCCATTTGTCTCACTCGGATCACCACAGACACATGGTCTTGCTTCCCTGGCCGTCCCTCTCTCTAACCATTCTTAGCAGTAGCTAGCCTGGTTTCCCCTTCATCCACTTGAACACCGTGTACACATGTACTCACTTCTGTTCAACTTGAATAATTTTAGAAATTAGTTCTCCTGAGAGCCCTTTTCTGACTCCCACAAGTCTGGCTTAGTTGTCCTTTCTCCTCTTTATAGCTCTGCCAGCCCTAATGGATGATTTTAAACCATGATTAGTGGATTGGCTCTATGGCCTGGTGGTTAAAGTGTCTGGATCCCAACTGGCTGGCTGAGTGTCCATTTGGAGTCCTGGACCCAGCAGCTTGAGAAATATGCCTGGCTTGTGTGCGTGCATGTCCAAAATCCTAAAACGGAGAGATAGAAGAGAAAGGATTATATGACCATTCTCCATGGGGATCGCTTTCTCTTCTCCCTCTCTCTCTGTCTCTTCATCTCTCTCTGGAGAGTGCACACACCCTTTGTCAAAAAAAAAAAAACCATGATTGGTATGAGTATGCTGTTGAACTAGAAAGGCACTGAACTGCTCTTCGGTAAACCTGGAATTTAGTCCTGTTTGTCAGTATTGTCAATTCATGAAGACCTCTATAACAGGTCTTTATGTCCATGTTTATATTGCGTCTTGGCTCTTCCCTTGTGAAATATGATAGCATTACCCTAAGACTATGGTTTCAATTGGTGTTGTGCTTTGGTTTCCACCTTGGAACGCCATTGTTAACCTCTTTATTGGAAGAGTTTAAATCTGGCAACTGAAGTAAATGTAAACTCGAAAGTAGAGCATGATCGCAAGGCTCAATGAGATATGTCTTTAACCTTTTTTTTCCCAGCTTCTGAAGGGTCCTAGACCTGCAGGAACACACTTTGAAATCTCAGAGCCAAAGGACCTAGCATATCTTTTAGCTCCCATAGACTCATTGAGTCTTAAATATTCTTTTTAATTTCTTCTCTTAATTTTTTTGGGGGGAGTAGAGGGCACATACACTCTCCAGAGAGAGAGAATGAGAAAGTAAAAAAGTACCCCCCCATGGGGGATGGTTACACCACAATCCCCTCTCCATCTCTCCCTTTTTCTGGGGTTTCTGGGCACTCACACATGTGTAATCAGCATATTTATCAAGCTGTTGGGTCTGGGATTGAAACCATGCAGTTGGCCATGTGGGATTCAGCTGCCTTAATTAACCACCACACCATGGGCTGGCCCTGATTTCTTTGTTTGAAGAGAGTTATTGGCCAGCCCTGTGACCTAGTGGTTGAGGGAGCAACATCCCACATGGCCAGCTGTACCGTGTGAGTCCCAGCCCCAGTGAGAGAAACATGCCAGGCACATGTATGTGCATTCTTCAGATCCGAACAGGAGGGAGAAGTGGAGAAGGGATTGCAGTGTGACCATGCCTCACTAGGGGGGGCTTTCTCCTTCTTTCCCTGTCTGTCTCTCTGGTCTATCTAGTGAGTGTATGCATCCACTGGCAAATTAAAAAATAAAAAATAAAAAGACGGCATTCTGTATGGTTGTGCCTTAGAAGTTTTAATCGATCATTAACTCTAGTGAATTTCAAACTTGAAAAAAGAGGGAAAAAAATAAGGATTATCTGTATTCTTTGACGTCTTTCCCTTGCATCAAGTGATGTTTAAACAAATGGCCATGCTAGACATTTTCTTTTGTTTTTGCAGAGGTTTTCGCTATAGGGCATGTGCGCTCGCCAGAAAGACAGAGAGAGACAGAGAGACAGAGAGACAGAAAACGAGAAATCACCCCCCAAGGGGGATGGCCATGCTGCAATCCCTTCTCCTCCATTCTCCTCTCGGGATCTTGGGCATGCACGCACATGTGCCTGGCATGAGTTTAAGCTGCTGGGGCCGGGACTGGAACCATGGTCAACTGCATGGGAGTCCAGCTTCATAGCCATTACGCCAACAGCTGGTCCCAATGCTAGACATTTTCTAAAGCAGACTATGAATATATAGCTATAATCAACAGTGCTATCTTTAATTGACAATGGTTTTTGAAGTCTACTTAAAATAAAGTGACTAGCCTTCTTGCTGCTGGGCAACGGGTCCTCATGTGGAGTTAGTTACCCTCCATCATAGAGCCCTATGCAAACATCATTAGCCGTCTTTATACACTTGTCCATCTGCAGACAAATGGGCAGCCAGAAGGCTTCATTACGTGTTTTTATGTGAAGCTAGATATGAGGAAAAATGTAGTCTAGAACTTCACTGTCCAATACAATAGTCACTAGCCATGTGTAGCTACTGATCACTTTAGTGTACTAGTCTGAACTGAGATAGACGGTAAGTGTAAAATATATACTAGATTTTAAATACTTAGCATTAAAAAAAAAGATATTAATTTTTTCAGGCTTATTTTATTTATGATTGTGTGGGTCCATGAACAAATTAGAAAGAAAGTGAGAGAGAGAAAGAAAAAGAAGTACCCTCAACAGGGTCTCATCAGACTACAATCTCCTTCCCCCCAACCCTCCAGCTAGTCAAGATCATATTTTAGGTAGACCATGCCTGGGCTCCGAACCTGTGCTTGCTTGGCTGTGTGACTTCTTTTTTTTTATTTTTATTTTTTGAGAGGTTTTCACTATAGGGTGCGGGCGCTCGCCAGACAGACAGAGAGAGACATAGAGACAGAAAGCGAGAAATCACCCCCCAGGGGGGATGGTCACGCCGCAATCTCTTCTCCTCCATTCTCCTCGGGATCTTGGGCAAACACGCACACGTGCCCGGCGTGAGTTTTAAGCCACCGGGTCCGGGACGCAAACCGCGGTCAACTATGTGGGAGTCCAGCGACATAGCCATTACACTAACTACTAACTGCTGGTTCCCTGTGACTTCTTTTTTTTGGAGAGGTTTTCGCTATAGGGCGCGTGTGCTCACCAGACAGAGAGAGACATAGCGACAGAAAGCGAGAAATCACCCCCCAGGGGGGATGGTCACGCCGCAATCTCTTCTCCTCCATTCTCCTCTCGGGATCTTGGGCAAACACGCACACGTGCCCGGCGTGAGTTTTAAGCCACCGGGTCCGGGACGCAAACCGCGGTCAACTACGTGGGAGTCCAGCAACATAGCCATTACGCTAACTGCTGGTCCCCCTCCCTGTGGCTTCTAACACTGCAGTGGAGTACACTACCAACTAGCTGGGTTATACATATATATTTTATATTTATCACATGTCAGAATAATAATTTATAAATATTGAGTCATCAGAGAAATAATAGAAATGACACATTTCTACATAGAAAAGTACATCATGACTTTTCTGATGACCCAATATATTGGATTGAATGAGTGTGTTGTTAAAATTAATTCCACTTGTTTCTTTTTTACTTTTTAAAAAATATAATTTGCCAGAGGGTGTGTGTGCTCACCAGAGAGAGACAGAGAGAGAAGCACTACCATCTCTAAATACTACCATCCCTGTTTAGGCTGTAGTCTCTTCTCTGTCTCTCCCTTCTTTCAGGATTTTGGGCATTAATATGCCCAGTGTGTTTTTCAAGCTGATGGGGCCAGAATTTGAACTGTGCAGTCAGCCATGTGGGATCTGGCTCTCTTAACCACTAGGCCACAACTCTGGCCCCTTTTTACTTTTTTAGGTTTTTTTCATGGGGAAACTTTTAAAAATTTTTATTTAATTTTATTCATCATCATCATTATTATTTAATTTGACTAGAGAAAGACAGAGAAAGAGACAGAGAGTGGGGAAGTGAGAAAGCAAGCCACTAGGTCTGGGACTCAAACCGTGGTTGGCCATGTGGGAGTCCAGCATGCCTTATCCACCATGCCACCTGCCTGCCCCTTGAGAAAACTTAAAACTGTACCTATGCACTTGTCGTTTGCATTATATTGGGTCATCTGAAAAATCATGACGTACTTTTTTACGCAAACGTGTGTCATGACTTTTCTCACGACCCAATATTTCTATTGGGCAGTGCTACATTATGAACTTTGCAAGTTCCTGGGACCAGCAGATGGCGTAATGGTTACATCTCTGGACTCCCATGTAGTCGACTGCAGTTAGAGCCCAGGACCCAGTGGCTTAACACGCACACTGGGCATGTGTGCATGCATGCCCAAGATCCCAAGAGGAGATCAAAAGTCTGGAGAACAGGGGATTGTGGCATGGCCATCCTCCCGGGGATTGATTTCTCCCTTTCTGTCTTCTCTAGCAAGAGTTTGCACCCTATAGCAAGTCACTCCCCCCAATAAAAAGAACTTTGCAAGTTCCAAAAATATTAAACCTAAGAAGTATCCCAGTTTTAGAAATAGTGCACAGGGTCAAATCCGAAATGCCTAAAAGTAGTGTCAATCTTCTCCTAATGTTCACATCTGTAACAGTGGAGGGAGAGTCAGGCCCTATCCTGGTAGGTCGAAATGCTGTATGATTGGATGGCTTCATGCTCTACTACTAATACAGCAATATAATTTCCCCAAATCCTCCCCTTTTCAATGCCTGTTCCAAAAGCCTATGAATCCATTTTAGTGTGAGGTCCCTGACTTTTAACTTTATAACACTTCTAGTTAAAATGAGGAAGATATGAAAGTGAGATCCCACTCCATATATAGCCTCATAGGTCTGCTGTTGAGGTCTTCATGAATCCAGCCAAAAAAAACGATGCCTTGTTTCTTATCCCAGAGTCCTTTCAGGCTTTGAGAGTAGCAGGGGATTAATAGTGATATGAATAACAATATTATAATGAGATTTTTTATTAGAGTTTTTTGGTCATGTAACCATTTTTCATTTTGTTTGATTTTTTTTCCCTAATCAGTATGTGGAATAGACTGTATTTTTCCAGATGTTCGACAACTATTGATTGAGTACCAACTCTGTACCAGGCACTATTCTGGTCACTAGGGATACCTAAGCAAGTAAAATAGGACAAATGGAGGTCACATCCTAGAGACATACCCTAATGCTGAGTTATATATAAATCACAGATATGTTCCATGGAGTTCTGCCAAGTGCCTTCGATTTATGATGTGTCAAGTTGACCTTTGACTTGCGAGATATTTTATCCCCTCAATGGACTTCAGAATTTGCCCTCCTGCATTCGTGTTTATTATTTCCTCCAGAAAATGAGTTGCGTGCAATGGGGGAGGAAGGGAGGCAACAAGTCTCAGTGTATTTTCTTATTACTTTGTCTTGGTCCACGTTGAGCAGTTAATTATCAGCTACAGGGAACCTAGGCATAAAAAGACTTTCCTAACAAAATAGAAATGACTTTACTACCGCAATGACAGTGATTTTGGAAGTTAATTTCACTTAAAATGTGCATCTTTACTCTGAAAGCGTAAGTGCTTGGTACTCAAGTATAGGTACTACCTATACTTGAACAACAGTATGTATGAAAAAAATGTGAAGTTTTAAAACGTGTTGTAGTTGAATCAGAATTGTGGAGGATTGGGCCAGCTTGGTGGTCCAACAATAACATATAGCTCAAACACACTGGATCCATATGAGAAGGTCACAGTTTTGGTTCCTCAGTTGATCTGTACACACCAGGTATGTGCACACATGATCCTAGCTGGCTAGGAAGGCTAGTGGGTGGGGACTGCCGGAAGAGACCTGTTGAGGGTGCTTGTCTGTCTGTCTCTCTCTGTCTCTCTTTGTCTCTCTTTGTCTGTCCCTCTCATAAAAATAAACAAAAACTTTTTTAAAGATGTGGAGGTTTATATAGCACTTCTTTGTTAGTGTTCATTAATTGGTTTTAGTGTTTTATTTCATGGGTCAGCAATTTATGCTATATATGTCACAAGGAACAACTTAGCTGGATAGAGCTAGTATCTTTCCCCCTCCCTCCCTGCCAAGAGAGCTTTATTTCTCTCGTACAAGAGCTGGATGCATGGCTGAACTTCCCTTCCAAGGAATTCACACAGTATGTATCTATGACACTTTCTGTCTCCACATCCAAGATGAATGAAGAATACAGCCTTAGGCCACTGTTATTAGCATTGTATCAGCTCTCTTTTATTATTCTGGGTTTTCCTGTTCTCTGGAAGAGATCCATAATATTAATTGGTACATTTATTAACTTTACTATAGCCAGAGAACCATTTTGTTTTTTCAAGGACTAAGCAATTGCCTCTTTTATTTTTTAATTAGTCAATTAGGGAACATGGGCTGGTTGCAGGGTTGGAGGGTGGGAGTGAGAAAGCATCACCCCTTCTTCTCTCAAGTCTTTGGGCATGCACGCATATGCACCCGGTATGTTTTCTTTTTAAATTATTTATTTAAAATTATTCATTTTTATTATTTTCTAATTTGACCAGAGAGAAAGAGAGAGAAGGAAAGTGAGAAAGTGAACTGCCAGTTCCAGGATTCAAACCACAGTCAGCCACGTGGGAGTCCAGTGCCTTAACCACCATGCCACCTGTCACCCTCTGCCCCTTGGCATGTTTTTCTTCTTCTTTTTTTAACAATTATTTATTTAACTTTATTCATTCATTTATTATTTTTAAATTATTTTATTTTACTTTATTTATCCATTTATTTATCTTAATTTGACCAGAGAGGAGCAGAGAGAGAGAGACTGAGAAAGCAAACTGCCAGTTTTGGGACTCAAACCATGTTCAGCCATGTGGGAGTCCAGCGACTTTAGCCACCACACCACTTCCCACCCCCCCATTAATTTATTTTTAATTCACCAGAGAGAGAGACACACACAGAAACAGAGAGAGAAAAAAAGTGAGAAAGCAAGCTACCTGGTTCAGGATTCAAACTGTGATTTGCCATGTGGGAGTGTCTAACACCTTAACCACCATGCCACTCTCTGGTCCCCCCTTGGCATGTTTTTCAAGCAGCCAAGGCCAGGACTCAAACTCAGCCATGTGAGATCCAGCCGCCTTAACCACCACACCACCTGGCTGGCCCAGCAATTACATCTTAAATTTAGCTTTGTCTTTATTAGGTTTCTTTTTATCTAAAGAGAAATTATGTCTGATGCTGCCTTATAACTCTTAGGATTTCTTCTGAAGAGACCATCGAACATCTTGTGTGGCATCTCATCTGATTGGACTTTTTTTGTCAGTGAATATGAACTTCAGTTGCTGAATAACATTAATATCTACCTGCATTTTTACACTAATATTGCGTATGTTTTTCAGGTTTTCAATTCAAAAACAGCTGAACTACTTAGTCATCATCAAGTGGAAATAAAACAGGAGTTTCCGAGAGAAGGGTATGATTCCTTATTTATTTATTTATTTATGAAATATTTATTTAAAAATTTTTGGAGAGGTTTTTGCTATAGTGTGTACGCTCACCAGAAAGACAGAGAAACAGAGAGACAGGAAGCAAGAAATCACCCCCAGGGGGGATGGCCTCGCCGTAATCCCTTCTCTTCCATTCTCCTCTTGGGATCTTGGGCACGCACGCACACGCACCCAGCATGAGTTTAAACCACTGGGTCTGGGACTCAAACCTCAGCCGACTACATGGGAGTTCAGTGACATAGCCATTATGCTAACTGCTGGTCCCAAATATTTATTTAATTTTATTTATTCATTCATTTATTTTAATTCGACCAGAGAGAGAGAGACACGGCGGGGGGAAGGGGAGTGAAAAAGCAAGCCACCAGGGCCAGGACTTGAACTGTGTGGTTGGCCATGAGGGAGTATCCAGCACCTTAACCACCACACCACCTGCTAGGCCCCTTATTCTTATTTTAATACATAAAGACATTATGTGAATTAGACTATTTCCACATACCTGTGCTGTGGATTCTAAAAGTAAACTTGACTAGATATTCTGCTGAGAAACCTTCATTGGTACTAGACAAGAGAAGGAGCAATAACTGGGTAGCTCAGCAAAAAACATGTGAGTATTTGATTGCTTAGGAATGTTGTAACAAGAAAAAAAATGACAAAGTAATATAGCAGAAGGATAGTAAGTATCAAAAATCCTATATTAACTTTGGAGTCATTTATTACAGTTCTGTGTCCCTTTGTTGCCAAAATGCTGCTTTGCTTAAGTGTAAGCTTTTCTGTTTTTAAGTAAAGATATCTGTTTTTTCATATAAATATTTTTAATTTTTAAAAGAATTATTTATTTAGGAGCCTCCCATATGGCCAACTGTGGTTTGAGTCCTAGAACTGGTGGCTTGCTTTCTCACTTTCTCTCTCTCTCTCTCTCTCTCTCTCATTCTGTCTCTCTCTGGTCAAAATAAATAAATAAATAAAGTTAAATAAAATAATTAGTTTTAAACTTTATTTATTATTAATTTGTCATAGGGCACATGTGTAAGAGAGAGAGGGAAAGTGAGACATCAAGCCTCCAGTTTCAGGTCTTGAACCACAGTTAGCTATATTCAAGTCCAGTGCCTTAACCACCATGTCACTTGCTAGACCAGGATATCTGTTTTTTTAAAGTGTCCACATATCTTATCATCCAATATTAACATCTCTCTTTTGTGGAGTAGTGTTCAGACGTAGAATGACTGAGCACAGGCCTGATCCCAGTGCTGTTAGGAAAGAGATACCTGGGTCGTGGAGAGATGAAAATGATAAATACTTGGAAAGGAACTGAATTTTTGAAAAAAAGACAACTTAGAGACAGAATTCAAAGTTCAGGAAAGGGAAACCTTTACTGAGGCCTAAGGGAGGCAGAGGAGAAAGACAATTAGAATCCCATTGCTACTTCCAAACCTAAGGTAGAATAGTTGGAGTTTGTGTCATGTCTCCTTTGGGGCTTCCTCAGTTTACCATATATTTCTCTCAGGTTTCTTATGCATCTTATGGCTTATTAGTTTATATCCTTCTGAGGCCCTGGTACCTTATCAAAACTGCACGGGATCAAGTCTGCAAATTTGGACCAATCACTTGTCTACCTAAAAAGAGTGAAGTCTACTTATTTTACTTTTCAGAATTCCTTTTGCTTTCAAATATATAATTTCAAAGAATGATAAATGTGTTTCAGTCTACCTAGAAATAGCTAATGACCAATGAAACAGGCAGATAGAATAGTTACCAAAATTTATCAAACTCACAAGGTATAAAAAATTGAAAAGGGGCCAACAGGTGGCATGGTGGTTAAGGTGCTGGATTCCCACATGACTGACTACAGTTTGAGAACTGAACCTGGCAGCTTGAAAATCATGCCGTGTGTGTGCACGCACACGCTCATGCCCAAACTCCCAGGAGAAAAATGGAGGAGGGGGATTGCAGCACAGTTATCCCCCCAGAGGATGATTTTTCACTTTCCCTCTCTCTGTCTCTCTCTCCTGGTAGCTCATGCACTGTACAGCAAAAACTTTAAAAAAAAAAAAGAATGAAAGAAAGAATTTCTCTTCTTATTAGACTAGAAAAAAATAACTTAAAAAATATATAATATTTACTGTCTATGACTTGCTACAGTGGCCTCTTTAAAAATTACTGTGTGAAGAATGGTAAAAATGTGAGAGAAATAAGCTTTTCTTTAAGTCATATCTTTAAAATGTGAGATATATTTCACTTTGCTTATCTGATTTTGTTTAATTTATGCACCTCCTACACCTTCGTAAGTTAATATTTCTTTAAAAATAAGTTACAGTTGTGTTGCTTTCTTGTAGACTAACCAACTACATTCTTTTGTTCAAAGATGGGTGGAACAAGACCCTAAGGAAATTCTGCAGTCTGTCTATGAGTGCATAGAGAAAACGTGTGAGAAACTTGGACAGCTCAATATTGATATTTCCAACATAAAAGGTATTTTAATAGAATATTTTACTCATGTGGTATGACTCTCTCAATCAAAATTCCTTGATTCATTCTTTCAGCTCATAAACTTGAAGATACCACAACAAAGAGGAAGATGAAATCTCTCTGCTCTTGGAGCTTTTATTTTGATGGGGATGAGACAAACAATAAGAGCAGGCAAATACAAGCTAATTTTAGATAGTAAGATTCCATGCAGAAAATGAAAACCAAGTGATGAGGTGGGCATACCTAGAAGGGCTTACTTTAAAGTGGCCAGGAAACACCACTCTGAGAAGGTGACACTTTTTAAAAGATATTTGCTATCAGGTATGTGCACTTGTCTTAGAGAGAGATAGTGAGAGAATGAGAAAGCATCCCCTGGAGGGTTGGCCATGCTGCAATCTCTTCTCCTCTATGCTTCTCTCGAGATTTTGGGAACGCACATGCATGTACTTGGCATTTTTTTAAGGAATTATTTATTTAATTTTAATTTTAATTCATTATTATTTTTAAATTTAATCAGAGAGAGACAGAAAGTGAGAAAGCAAGCCACCAGGTCCAGGACTCGAACCATGGTCAGCCATGTGTGAATCCAGTGCTTTAACCACCACGCCACTTGTCAGCCCCCATCTGTTAGGTTTTTTAAGCCACTGGTTCCTGCACTCAAACCCTGCAGTCAGCCATGTAGGATCCAGCTGCCTTAACTACCCTGCCACCACCTGGCACGAGAAGGTAACACTTATGCTGATTATGTCAAAGGCTGAAAGGGGCCAACCATGGAACTATCTGTGAGAAGAATATTTAAGCATAAGGAAAGAGCACATGCAAAAGGCCCTGAAGTGGGAATAAGCTGGGAACATTCCTAGATCGGAAAGCAGGCCAGCATGTCAAAGGCAGAGTAAACAGTGGTTGAGGGGTAAGGGCGTGTGTGTAGGGGGTTTTGGTAAGACCTGAAATTGGGGAAGGGGTAGGGCCTTGTCAGCCATGGTTAGGACTATGGATGTTATTCTTAACATCACAGGAAACCATGAGAAGGTTTCCAGCAAGTCAGCAGGGGATGACTTGCAGATTAAAGACAACTTCCTTACTGCTCTGTGGTGACCACACAGGGTACACAGGGAGCCAGTGTGGAAGTTGCTATGGAAATCCTGGGGGAGAATGGTGGCTTGATCCACAGTGGTAGTAACAAAGATAGGGAGAAAGGGCCAGAACTTGCTGATGGATTTGGATGGCAGAACAATAGAGAGAGCAGTGGGGGGAGGGGGGAGAGAGACGGTTCAAAGATAATGCTTGGGGGCCAGATCCATGGCCTAGTGGTTAAGGGAACCAGATCTCACATGCCTGACCACATGGTTTGAATCCCAGCCCTGGCAACTCGAGAAATATGCTGAGCACGTGTGTGTGCATATCAACAACCTAACAGGAAGGAGAAATTGAGGAGAAGGGATTGCAATGTGGCCATTCCCTGTGGGGAGGGGGTTTTCTCTCTCTCTACTCATCTGCCATTTCACTCTCCGGTAAGTGAATATGCCCTCTGGCAATTAAAAAAAATGATGCTTA